CAGGTGTGGATCTGTGTCTGCCCCCAGGCATGTGTCTAGGTCTGCCCCACAGGTGTAGTCTGATATCAGGACTGCAGATCTGCCCTGCAGGTTCTTCAAAAGGCCATCATTGGGACATGAGACCCTGGGACCCCCTCCTTCCCCACCACCCTGTGGCCTTGCACACGCTTGGCTGGTGGTTCATTCAAGTCTGTATGAGGGAGCACATGACCTGAAGAGCCTTGGGAATGGTCTAGCCCTGTCCACACACTTCTGCTGGCCTTGGCCAGATAAGGTAGAAAGTGGCAGGAAAAATTCACCCTTCCCAGAAATTGGACATGGAAATTTTGTTAGTTGAATTTCATAAAATAAACAATTGGGGCTTGTGTTTTAGCACATTCTGAAAGTTTATTTGTCTAGTAATTTGTATTGTGTTTTATGAAAGTGATGATCCTTAGCAGGGAAATTAGTAGTGGCAGAGACATCAAAGGGACCTCCAGCTGGAAGTCCCATCAAGGAGATGGTCACCAGGCTCCCAGACCTCCCCAGGTCAGGGGGGCAGCCCTGACCCTTTTATTTGAAGGGCCACACTAAAATCCTCTGGCCATCAAGACGAGGACGTTGGAGCAAGCAGAGAGCTTCATTCACAGACTCCCTCCACTCAGAGCCGCTCTTGGGATCAGTGTGGGAAGGGAAGGATCCCAGGCAGGGCCCTGGTGTTCACCGTCACACCCTGGGCCTGACCTTCTTGGTGATGATGTCAGAGTTCTCCTTCAGGCACCCATCACTACTCTATTCCAAAGCACCTCTGCCCCTGAAGAGCCCTGGGCACGTGGATGAGAAAATCTGCTCTTCCTAAAAGCCACTGCTGGCATTTATGTGTCTCTTGCCAGCTGAAATCTGACGATTGGAATTCCCTGGTTCCTATGACGGAGCTTAAGCCAGGAAGCACTGCTTCCAGCCACAACTACTTCCTGGTCAACTCCCAGCAGAGGTGGACTCACGTGAGACTCAACATCTTCCCAGGTAAGTGCTACGCGGCCCCTGTAGCCCTGCCCTTCTTTATTATGCACGTTTGTGAAATGACACGGATCAGTAACAGAGCTGCCCAGTGTTAGGTGGTCATTTGCCCTCTTGGTGCCCCAGGAAATTCTTACCTTACTCGAGGGATCAATAGGTACCTAATGAGAAATTACCAAGTTAACCAGGGTGTGGAGAACCAGTGGATCAGGTTAGATATCTCGTAGCAACATTCATGTCACAGGTACATTTTCCCATTTATAAAGAAATCCTATGCCCTTTATCTGACATCCTCCTCACCAGCCCTAAGCAACTAAACTTACTGTCTATCTTGATAGGTTTGACTATTTTGAAACTTTCATGTAAAACAATCACATTTTTTTGACATTTCGTCTCTTTTTTCACTTCATATAATGTTCCAAGGTTCTGTAGCATATACGGGAACTCCATGCCTCTTTTTGACCAAAAAATCTCCACCAGTACATACACAGCATTCTAGTTACCCATTCACCAGCTGATGGACATTTGTTTCCACCTGTTGGCTCCTAGGATCCATGTTGCTGTAAACACTCACTAGCTTTTGTGTGGACATAGGTTTTCATTTGTGTTGAGTATATACCCAAGATTGGCATTTCTGGGTCATATGGTCGCTGTGTTTAACTGTTTGAGAAACTGCTGGACTTTCCCAAAATGGCTGCAACATTCACATTCCTACTGGGAATTTTGATTTCTTCACTTCCTTCCCAGAACTTGTTATCTTTCTGATTGTAGCCATCTTAGTGCATGCAAAATAGGACCTCATTGTGGTTTTGATTGATTGGCATTTCCTTGATGCCTAATGATGGTGAGAGCATATTGTCATGTGCTTATTTGCCATCTGTATATTTTCTTAGAAAAAATTTCCTTCCAGACTTATTGCTTATTTAAAAATTATCAAGTCATATATAAGTTCTTTATATATTATAGATACAAGTCCCTTATCAGATACAAGATGTGCAAACAATTTCTCCCACTCTGTGAAGTGCCTTTCACTTTCTTTGTAGGGTCTTTTGAAGCACAAGAGCTTTTGTTGTTGATGAAATTCAGCATATCTGTTCTATTCTTGTGTGTGTGTGTGTGTGTGTGTGTGTGTGTGTGTGTGTGTGGTGCTGGGGATTGAACAGGGCCTTGTGCAGGTAAGACAAGCACTCTACCAACTGAGCTGTATCCCCAGCCCATTCTATTCTTTTGTTGCTTATATTTTCAGAGTTACATCTAGAAAATCAGCACCAAATCATGGATATGAATGAATATTCCTGTGTTTTTGTGTGTTTTATAGATTACATGTTTGCTCAAAGAAATAGATCAACATTTTAATCTTTGATTTACATCTTTGGTTAATTTTGAGTTAAATTTTGTAGGTGGTGTGAGGAAATGATTCAGCTGCATTCTCTTGCATCATATGAGTTGTCTAAAGAGCATTTGTAGAAAACACTCTTCTTTCCCGATGGAATGACTTGGGAACTCTTGTTGAAAATTAGTTGACCATAAACACATGAGTTTATTTCTGGACTCTCAATTTTGTCTTTGATCTATTTTTCTGTTCTTATACCATTAATGAACTATCTTGATCAGTAAAGTAAGTTTTAAAATTACAAATTGAGTCCTTTGGACTTTTTTCTTTTCAAAAATTATTTTGGTGGTTTGGAGTCTTTTGCGATTCCATATTTTAGAATCAACTTGTAAATTTCTACAGAGAAACCAGCTGGAATTTTAAAAAAATTATTTGTTTAATTTGTTTTATATGACACCAGTTGGGAATTTGACAGAGGTTGCATTAAATCTGTAGCTCAATTTGAGAATTATTGGCACCTTAATAATATAAAGTTTCCCACTCCATGAACATGGGATAGACTCCCATTTGTGTAGGTGTCCTCTAATTTCTTTCAAAAATGATTTGTAGTTTTCAGATTATAATTTCTGCACTACTTTTGCTAATTTTTATCTTGTCCCTACAACACTACTGAACTCCTTTGTGAGTAGTAATGGATTTTTAGTGGAATATTTAGGATGTTCTGTATACAAGATCACACTGAGAACAGAAATAGCTTACTTCTTCCTTTCTAACTGGGATTCACCCTCTGTCTCTGCCTTTTCAATCAGAATCTGTCAGTCTGTTTCCCACCCCCTACTAATTGCCCTGGCTAAAATCTCTAATGCAGTATTGAACAGAAGTGGCAAGGGATGAAGCCTGCATATGATTCTCAGCAAAGATTCAATTTTGCAAATATGATCTTTTGTAGTCTCAACCAAATCACTGAGCAGTGCAGTGCTGTAAGAATAAACACATGAGAGTCTTTCATGAGTTGAGGGGTGGAGGCGATGCTCATTGCTGACACCAGCGCCCAGGTGTGTGGGGTCTGTAATTTACCTATGGTGCATTTCCAAGTGACTTTCCACCTCCATGGAGTTGACTTGCTATAGGTAGACACAGTGCAGAAGTGGACAGCTTGGCAAATGGCCTGGCTCCAGGGATGCTACATTCTAAATCTGGAGACAGATAACAGAGGGGACTTAAAAAGAGGGAAAATAACAAAGGTAACTGCAGCTGGGCATGGTGGCACACGGCTATAATCCCAGCAGCTCAAGAGGCTGTGGCAGCAGGATCTCAAGTTCAAAGCCAGCCTCAGCGACTTAGGGAGGCCCTAAGCAACTTAGTGGAATCCTGTGTCAAAATAAAAAATAAAAAGGGCTGGGGATGCTGCTCAATGGTAAAGCATCCCTGGGTTCCATCCCCAATACCAAAAAATGAAAAGTAAGGTGACTTCCTACTGCAAACAGAGCTATAGAGCAGCTAGCAGGCAGATGGAATAAAGCTCATCTGGGAATCAGGCAGCGGCAGGTGGACAGGAAAGAGAGGATCTCCAAAGAGAGAAAGAGCCTTCCTGGGGCCAGACGTGTAAATTGAGACTCAAGAATGACTGTTTCCTGGAGAGCTGGGGAGGTGTCATGATAAGGTACTGTCATGTGCCAGGGCCCTGGGGTGATGGGACTGAAGTGGTCAGGTGTGGCACAGCCAGCAGGAGGTGAGCCTGGAGAAGACACAAGGGCCCTGCTGGTCATGCCACCTGCAGTTACCTCTCTGACCTTTCCTTTTCAGATGGGGGGATTGCGCGCCTTAGAGTATATGGTACTGGACAGAAGGACTGGGCTGCAACCGATCCCAAAGATCCGGTAGACCTGGTGGCCATTGCCTTTGGGGGTGTCTGTGTAGGATTCAGCAATGCACATTTTGGGCACCCAAACAATATGATAGGTGAGAGAACATTCTAGGAGCCGGCTTTCTGGAGAAGTGTGGGCACTCGCATCAAATACCCCATAGGCCAGAGGACGGGCCCTTGAAGCATGGGGTGGAGGAGATTAGTGTGGGTGTGGGATTCAAAGCCCCCGTGCCATGGGGCAAGTCATCGTTAGTCGTGGTCCCTCCTCGTTTGGGCCTATAGAGTTGCCATAAAGGAAAACAGTTTACCAACTCTGTGAATGGGCTGAAACGTCACTGCAATGAAAGTCACCTGGATGGCCACGCTCAGGGACGTGGGATCTGAGATGGAATGGTGTGGGCATCCATTCTCCCATTTGAGATCAAATCACCGTGGCACCATTAACGGAATTTTTCTGGTAGGAGTTGGTGGGCCCAAGTCCATGGCAGATGGCTGGGAGACTGCGAGACGGCTGGACAGGCCCCCGGTGTTGGAAGTAAGAAGTTCTTTTCAAAAAGCTTTTCATTTTACCTCAAAGAAAAAAAAATATTTTTTAAAGAATCCTCTTGAGCTTTTCTAAACGCTCATCACTACTCTCCGTTGGTTCTGAGTTTCCAGTTCCTCCTGGCTCTGTACAGCTCCACATTGTCCTCCACCAGGGCAGACATGCTGGACATTGCCCTGGCTCTGGTCCATCTTGCTATATTCCTCTGTTTCTTCAGTAAACGGATCAAAGGATCTATGGTCTAATGACCCAGAAGCCATGGGTACGTTTGTTCGTAGAACTGGAGGGAAAAATGAGTTTAGTATTTGTAGTCTCTGTGCTTCCTAGGATCAGACACCCATGCGAGCCTGTGGTGATAAGGAACTAGAGTCAGATTAGCTGCTCCATCTGGCCAGTAACTAAGCTGACGCAAAGAAACCAAATGCGGGGAAAGCCAAGCCAAGTGTTCAGCTCTGAATCCCACTGAAAATTCAGCCATGCCCCCGCCCCTGGATAGCCCTCCCATCACACCAGAGCTTCCCGAGGTAGATGCATGAAGTCGGCTTTCGGGGTATGGAGGGTTAGAGTCAATCAGGCATCCCAAGAGACAGTGGCAACCAGGAGAATATCCTCTTGGCAAGGGCAAAACAAATTACTGACCCCGAGGGTTGGATTAATAAGATACCTCTGTGTATGATGTTCTGTATGAACCTACAGTTGGCACAGAAAACCACCAGGAATTGGCAGAAATGAACTCTCAAGTCAGTAAGAGGTATTTAAGAGTGATGGCAATTTATGCACAACGTGGTTTTCACATTAGGTCACATGAAACACCCTTTTTTTTTTTTTGGTGAGAAATAAAGAAAGCACAAATATAAGATGTTAACATTTTCCACCTGCGGATTTTCAGTCGGTTTAATGATGCCGACTGAGCGGACCTTCCTTTCCTTGGATTCCAGAATGACAAGAATGGCCTTCTCCAGGTTCAGGGTTGTGAGTGGGCAGTTTTCCGGCTGGCACATCCTGGAGTCATAACTCAAATTGAAATCGACACCAAGTATTTCAAAGGTAAATGTCACGTAAGGAAGGGCCTGGTAGTCGGTGGGCTTACTCTCCAGGTGACCTGTCCCCTGGGGGCAGGGGAGCTGCTCTCCGCCTGGCCTCCGCTCCCAATGCTGTGTGGTCCTGAGCAGTTCTGAGAGCGACACGTTGGCTCCGCAGCTGCACCTCCCTCCACAGCTCAGAGTTGGCCTGGACGACTCTGAGGTCGTCCACGATGCCCCATGCTGTGGGGCTCTGAGCTGCATGTGCAGGGAGCCCGTGGGAGCAGCAGGGAGGACAGGCCTCTGGCTGAGGGGCAGTGGTCCCGGCAGATTGCGGGGGGGTGACCATTTCTCTCCAGGTGTGACATCTTACTGTGATTTTTGTGGTGCTGGGGATCGAGCCCAGGGCCCTGCACCTGCTGAGCATGTGCTCTACCACCAAGTGCACCTGGCTGCAGGCAGACTCGGAGGAGTGACCCACACAGATTTAAAACTGTGCATTTCTGGTACTAGGAGAAATTGGTAATAAGAGAAATTTTACATTGACTTTCTTATGAGATGTACACATGGGTCATCGTATCAAGAAAGTTCCAAAGAGGTTACTGAGCTTCTACAATTGCTAGGTGACATCGTGTTAGTATTGGACTGGGAGTCTTGGGATTGCTTAGTTCTTTATGACAAATGGTGGCAGCCTGTCTTCACATTTTGTAGGGCTGATTTTTAAATGTTTCGAATCATGGTGACTTCTGCTGATTCTAGCTTTTCCAGGGAAGCACAATGTACACTGAGGACAGGTCTGTCACCAACAGCGGAGGGTGTGTATTAATCGAGAAGTCTTGGTGTCTGCTGGCACCAATGCCACATGAACTGGCTTGTTCCTTTCCTTTATATGTCACGCCTCTGCGTTTGCTTAGAAGGAGCGGTGGCTTGTTCTTTGCCAGGTTTTGATCTGGTTACACGAGCCTGGTGCCCTACAAGCTGAGCTGTGCTGAGGGAATGTGCAGGGCAGGGTGCCTCTGTTTGCTCCGATAGGCAATTCTCCCGACAGCTGCAAAGTGGACGGGTGCATCCTGACCACCCAGGAAGAAGAAGACATGGTCAACAAAAAGTGGATCCTTCCAGCCCATAAATGGAAGCCCCTTCTCCCCATCACCAAGGTATGTGGGGGACAGCGTGGGGATCTGGTCTTCAATCAGAGCTATTTCCCCTAGACTCTTGTGTGCAGATTAGAATACAATTTCAGACCTCTTCTCAGTTTAGGAGTGAAATGAACTGACATGAATGGACTTTAAAAACTGAATGGTATACTTACGTAAGAGAAAGGCAGAGGCTTGGGAGGCTGAGGTAGGAGGACTGCAACTTCAAGGCCAGCTTCAGAAACTTAGGGAGGCTCTAAGCAACTTAGTGAGACTTAGTGAGAGTCTATCTTAGACAACAAACAAACATGCTGGGGATGTGGCTCAGTGGCTCATTGGCGCAATGGCTGTGGGTTCCATCCCCAGTACAAAAAAAAGGAAGGACAGACTCTCTGTCCCACTTTTACGTTTCTAACAATCAATTTTGTTAAAAGAAAAGTCTGTTGTGTTAAAAGACATAAATGGAAACATGTTTCTGTGATATTCAGCTTTTTGGAAGGGGTGGGGGTGGTGCATGAAAGCCACCTGTGGGATAAGTGCCCTGAGATGGGCACTGTGGAGGCCAGGGATGCTCCCTCGTGACCACGGGGACAGCAGAGTCCTCTTTCACCTTCTCAACAGCTCATCCCCTAACTCTTTAAAGGGACACATATCGGGGACCTGCCCTCAGATCAGTGCTCCTTGGCCCTGCCCCTGCTGGCAGGGCCCCTGGAAGCTGAATGGTCTCACTGAATAACTTCAGCTGAAGCCCCACAAGTCCAGACTGACAGGCTGAGCTGGGTCCTCAGGCCACACAGCCCTGCTCCAACAAGCACCCCCTTCTGGCTCTCTTCCAGTTGTCCCCCAACCAAAACCACCTGTTCGACAGCCTGACCCTGGAGCTCCAAGACGTCATCACTCACGCCAGGTTCACCATCTTCCCGGATGGAGGCGTGAGCCGCCTTCGACTCAAGGGCTTCCCCAGCTCCATCTGCCTGCTGCGGCCCCGGGGGGACCCCAGGATGAGGTTCTCAGTTAAAACGGGTTTTAAGGCAAACCTTTAACCATGTGCAAAACACTCATTTCTACACAGCAATAACTGCCCACTTGAGGTCTTTCCGAGGCTGTCAACACCTGGTGGCTGAATAAAGTGGTCACCGCACCAAGCAGCCTCTGTGTTTCCTGTGGCCATGAACCGTTTGGTAGCTTAATTATTTGTGTGGCTGTGAGTAGAGGTGGCCTCTTGAGGGATTGTTTTTTTTTTTTTTAAACCCCACAAGGTACTGACATTTATAACACGACTGTGTACCTTCCGGGTGTATATCCAACAGTGGATATGTAGCCTCCCGTCTTGGAGAGTTCAAACCCACCACGACCACTGGGAACAAGCATTTCTAGAATTACTCATGGTGGCAGCTCGAAGGACTGGCCACTCTTCACCAGAACAGGGAGGGCCTTCCACTCCCACCCCCACCAGAGTGCATGCATTCTGAATGTCACATTTCTGGGTACCAGGCACCAGCAGCGACGTCACCCAGTTCCTCACGTGCTGTGCAGGTTCCAGACCACTTACCCACTCTGTGCCAGGGGCCTAGGAGCTTTTTAGGTGGTAAATCGCTTAAAGAAACTGAGGCTCAGAAAGGCGAGGCGTTCTGGCACTGTCCTCTTCTGATTGCCCCGAGAGTCCTGATGCAACCCGCCTCGCGCCCTCGAGGGCCGCCAGCACAGTGAGCGGGGTCGCGGTGCCATGTCACCCCTCTCATTCCCGCCGCTTCTGCAGGCCACCCTCCTCCTCCTCTTTCCAGAGCTGCCCGCCACCCTCACCTGCCCTGTCCCTGCAGGCCGCGGGTCACAATCGCCGGCGCGTCAGCACACGCAGCCCTCCTGCCCTCTATGGTGACCCTCGGGTCAGCTCCGCGTGGCCCTGCTGGCGCGGTCCGGCTCTCGCGCGGAGGCGAGCGCGCAGCGCCATGGGCACGCGCGGGCCCTACCCGCTGGTGGACACCACGCCGGCCAAGACCATCCTGGTGTACCGCAACGGGGACCAGTTCTACGTGGGCCGCAAGTTCGTGTTCTCGCGGCGCCACGTGGCCAACTTCGAGGTGCTGCTGGAGCAGCTGACAGCGCAGGTGGACGTGCCGTTCGGCGTGCGGCGCCTCTACACGCCCACGCGCGGCCACTCGGTGCACGAGCTGGACGCGCTGCAGACGGGCGGCAAGTACGTGGCGGCGGGCCGCGAGCGCTTCAAGAAGCTCGAGTAAGTGTGCGCCCCGCGGCGCCGCCATCTGCGGCCACCTGCGGCCACCCCGCTGCCCACTGCCCCTGCCCCTGCCCCGAGCCCCTGCCCCCTGAGCCGCGTCCCGGGAGGACGGGCCTCGAGTGCCTGGGTTTAGAGGATGCTGGGCCCAGGGGAGGGGCCCTGGGGCGGGGCTCAGAGTGCACTGGCGGTCCCTGCGGGAGCTGGCCCCCTGCGGCCACCTCTGCCCCGAAGCCTCCTCTGCCTAGTTGTTTCCCTCGTGGTCCTTGTGTCCTTCCACGTCCGCTCCTCCTGTCCGACTGCAGACCACGTCTTTTCTACGGTTTTACGTGTGGAAATTCTTCGAGAGCTGAGAATCCGTGCGATTCTCCAGAGAGAACCTCCATTTCTCCAGGTTCCAGAAACGCTCCCGTCTGAGGATACTCTCTTTTTCCATTTTATTTTTTTAAATTGGTTCTGATTAGTCATACCTGACAGGAGAGTGCACCTTGACACATCACACACACACGGAGAATGATTTCTCTGTCTTCCGGTTGCAGTGATGTAGACTCACACTGGTCCTGTGGTCTTACTTGAACATGGGGTAATAATGTCTGATTCACTCTACTCTCCTTCCTACCCCCTGGCCCTCCCCTCCCTTCACTTCCCTTTACCTAATCTAAAGTGACTCCATTCTAACCTAGCCACCCTCCCTGATTGTGAATTAGCATCGGCATATTAGAGAAAACATTTGGCCTTTGGTTTTTTTTGGGACTGGCTTACTTCACTTAGCATAATCTTCTGTAGCTCCATCCATTTACCAGCAAATGCCATAATTTCATTTTTCTTTAAGGCTGAGTAATATTCCATTGTGTATATACACTACATTTTCTTTATTCATTCATTTGTTGAAGGACACCTAGTTTGGTTCCATAGTTTAGCTGTTGTGAGTTGAGTGGCTATAAACATTGATGTGGCTATGTCACTGTAGTATGCTGATTTTAAGTCCTTTGGGTATAAACCGAGGAGTGGGATAGCTGGGTCAAACGGTGGTTCCATTCCAAGATTTCTGAGGAATCTCTATACTGCTTTCCATAGTGGTTGTACCAATTTGTAGTCCCACCAGAAATGTATGAGTGTGCCTTTTCCCCCATCCTCACCAATATTTATTGTTGTCTGTGTTCTTGATGATCGCCATTCTGACTGCAGGGAGATGAAATCTTGGAGTAGTTTTGATTTGCATTTTTCTAATTGCTAGAGATATTGAATTTTTTCATATATTTGTTGATTGATTATATATCCTTTTCTGAGAAGTGTCTGTTCAGTTCCTTTGCCCATTTAATGATTGGGTCATTTGCCTTTTTTTTTTTTGGTGTTAAAGTTTTTTGAGTTCTTTTTTTTTAATTGTTGATGGACCTTTACTTTATTTATGAATTTGTTTATATGTGGTGCTGAGAATCGAACCCAGTGTCTCACACATGCAAGGCAAGCACTCTACCATGGAGCCACAACTCCAGCCCTTGAGTTCTTGATATATCCTGGAGATTAGTGCTCTATCTGTGTGGTAAAGATTTTCTCCCACTCTGTAGGCTGTCTCTTCACATTATTAATTGTTTCCTTTGTTGAGAAGAAGCTTTTTAGTTTGAATCCAACCCATTTATTGATTCTTGATTTTACTTCTTGTGATTTAGGAGTCTTATTAAGGATCAAAGACACTCCTAATTAAGTTAGTAGTGTGAGATTTTAATTTTTTGGAAAAAAAAGAATAAAAAAAGGAGCTGGTTTTACTGAGAAGTGGTGAGTATTCTAAATTCTTAATGATTTTTGCAAAGATACAAATTTAACATCCTGCTATTTCTAAAGAAAAAAATCACCCTAGAGATAGTGTTGATTAAAGTATCTTCAGATCTAACATTGGCTTGATTCCTGTGGTAATCCTGTTGGGTGGAGAGTCACTGACAGGACTGTATCCTTAGCAGTTATTTTCCAGGTCAATCAGTGTTATGCACACCCGGAACTTCTGACTTCCCACTAGTATCCAGTATTTGGTATAGTTTTACAACAACCAAAGGATGTTTGTACAGAATTGACTTTAGTTCTTTTCAATACGTATCTAATGAGAAGCATTAATCTCCCGACACGTTTCCTTGTGAACTTGGCTCTCTGCTGTGTAGTAGAGGAGGGAGGAGACCATCGCTGTCCACCCAGACACCCGGGCAGGCCTGTGTTTCCCCTTTCCCGCGGGTCTAGGCGTTCTCTATTAAACCCTGTTATTCATTTAATTTTGTAGAGAGTCTCCTGGTTTAATTTAAGATGTTCTGGAATGTGGCAGAAATGCTTTGCAGTGTTTTCCTTCCTCCTCTTCATGTTGGGCTGAGCGTCTGCGAGGAAAGGTAACCTGCTCCCAGGAAGGGCCCGTCACAGTGCTGCTTACTAAAGTAGTTGGGTGATATTTGCATGTGAAGTTCAACCTGGAGAGGTTCATTTTCTTTCCCTTTTAGGTCGATGAAGTATGAAATCGGATCCAGCCTTTGGTGAATTAGCTTTGGAACAGTTGAGGCTGGGTGGTGCCAGGGAGCCAGCACCCGGGGCGATTTGTGTGGTCTGTGATTGCTCAGCTAGCGAGCAGCTCAAACTGAATTTTACTGGAAGATGAGATTCCAATTGTGCCACCAGCAAATGAGCTTTGAATTGAAGCCTGATGATGTGTTACTGTCCCGGGCCTTCACTGTAATGGCTGTGAGACACTGTGAAATCTACCTGGCGGCCAGTCATTATTTAAATATTTCCTACATTCTCTGGAGTAAGTTAATTCGAGACAAAGCACATGACTTTTTCCCTTATAAAACAAAGTGTTATAGGGTAATAATTATTAGTTTTAAAAAATAATTGTCCTAGCCAGACGCAGTGGTGCATGCCTGTAATTCCAGCAGCTCCAGAGGCTGAGGCAGGAGGATTTCAAATTGCAAGCCAACCTCAGCAACTTTGCAAGGCCCTAAGAAGCTCAGTGAGATCCTGTCTCAAAAAAAAAGTCCTATAAAACCAAGAATTAATGGCTCTTTTGTGTAGCAAGCCATATTTACAACAAAATCTAACTCAAGTTGTGTGTGTGTGTATGTTTGTGTGTGTGTGTGTCTGTGTGAGCGTGTGTCTCTGTGTGTGTCTGTGTGTGTGTGTGTCTGTGTTGTGTCTCGGTATGTGTGCCTCTCTGGGTGTGTCTGTGTCTGTGTGTGTCTGTGTGTGTGTGTGTCTGTGTGTGTGTGTGTCTGTGTGTCTCTGTGTGTGTGTCTGTGTGTGTGTGTCTCTGTGTCTGTGTGTGTCTCTGTGTGTCTGTGTCTCTGTGTGTGTGTCTGTGTGTGTGTCTCTGTGTGTCTGTGTGTGTGTGTGTCTGTGTGTGGGTGTCTCTGTGTGTGTGTGTCTGTGTTTGTCTCTGTGTGTGTCTGTGTGTGTGTGTGTGTCTGTGTGTGTGTCTGTGTGTGTGTGTCTCTGTGTGTGTGTGTCTGTGTTTGTCTCTGTGTGTGTCTGTGTGTATGTCTGTGTGTATGTGTGTGTCTGTGTGTGTGTCTGTGTGTGTGTGTGTGTGTGTGCTGGGGAGGGACCCCAGCAGTGTGCATTGTAATAGGGCAGCATCCTCCTCACCTCAGCGCCTGTGGCGGAGCAGATGTGTTTACAGGTCCTTCCCCTCTTCTCACCCAGGACGGCCACGTAGTTTGAGTCAGGGCTTCGGCCTGATGAGCCTGGGCGGGTCAGGTACCCTCAGAGGCCTGTCAGTGACTTGGGTCTGGTGCCGTGGACTCCAGCCAGCCCAGGCAGCACTGTGAGGTGCTGGCTCCCGCGAGCTGGCTGCTTCCCTCCGGGTTCTCTGGCAGCAGCCGGGGGAAGCTGGCCATGGCAGCCTGGCCTCCTCCTACCTCCTCCTGGTCTCTGCGTCCCAGGCCCCTGCCTGCGTACCCCAGGGGGGCCAGGCCCTGCAGCAGACCTCTGCACACCCCTCCTGCTCTCCAGGCTGTGTGGAGTGGCTTGCTCCCTGGTGCTGTTCTAGCGGTGAGTTCTTGGGGTGCTGCAGGGTCAGGCAGGATTCCCCCTGGACTGGGACTGGACCCAGGGTGCTCTGTCACTGAGTGTTTTATATGCAGACAGGGTCCCCTAGTTGCTGTGGCTGGCCTTGAACTTGTGCTCCTGCTGGGACTTCAAGGTGTGCCGCAGCACTGGCTCTCTGTAGGTGTTAATGTTTGTCTTTATCTTTACATCCCTTCAGTTAACGATGACCAGGTGTCTCCTTGGCAGATTAATGCTTATGAGCCAATATGGAACTTGGGGACTTAGAATTTCCTGAAGAAAACCTGTCTGGAAAAACACAAGGACTGGGGAGCTCTTGGAGAGCCGATGCAAAGGCCTGTGGACAGAGGCAGCGAACCGGACACTCACGGGCTGAATGGGGCCAGCAGCTGTGTCGCTTTGAGTCACACAGTTTTCCAAGATTTGAATTGGCTTCAACATGTCATGATTGGGAAAATTCACATAATAACGTGAACTTTTGGTTTCTGTTAAAAAAAAATAGAGAATTTGAAGTTGGCAAAGACCCAGTCTCAGTTACCTGCATCTCCACATGTAGAGTGTGTGCTGGACATGAGAGGTCCTGTCCACCTGAGAGGCAAAGGACGCTCCCACTCCCCCGGTCCCTCCGCTCCCTAACACTGCCCTGACCTCTGGGAGCACCTGAGTTCATGACTCTTGACTCCATATTGAATAACTGGTTTTTTCCATCTACCAAGTTTAAGTGACTCCTTCTCTGATTGTTGCTAAAATCATCAAAAAATGGTCACAATCTCAAATAGGATTTTTTTAAATCAGAAGAAACCTTAGTATCACACATAAATCTTAGTCTTATTTATTATCATTTAAAACTTTAATTTTGGGGAAATATGGGAGATTTTTCACACGTACCCAAGGGAAAAAATTGTCCCCAAGGGAAAAAATTGTAAGAGTGAAACTCAAAATTTTATTCGGTGACTCTTCTCCGTTTTGGTAAAACAGGAACAGGGCTGAGGCCCTGTGAGGCAGGGGCCGAGGAGGCCCAGGGCTGGGCCGGAGTCTGGCTTCCGCTCTGACCCTGGCTGGCTGAGCGCTCAACCTGGTCCGTTAGTGACCTGTGGGAATAAAATCCACTGAATGAGGTGATTTCTGGGTCCGTGTCAGTAGCCCAAACGCTTCCCGGGGAAGTGATGCCTGGTGAGAGTCTGCGCAGGGCTGTGCCGGGGCACTGCTGGGAAGTCCTTCTGCAGTCCCCTGGGCCACACGTCTGTCTGGGAGTGCCTCCGCCTGGTTGTGCATTGCTGTGGCACTGTCTTCTTCAAAGTCGAAGGGGCCACAGCTCTGAGTCTGATATTTACCTTCTAACTCTGTTTCTCCCCTCTTCTCTTGCAGCTATATCCATATAGTTCCCAGAAAGCCCTCCAAGATGAGGAAGTTGAAGGAAGTAAGTGTGCACGGCTGAGGGGGGGAGACGGGCCAGATCGTGGGGTGACAGTCTAAACTGATAGAACTCGGGTCCCGACTTCCTGGGGCTGAACCTCAGGGTCTGGCAGGAAGTGCCCCTGGAGCGCGGGAAGGCCCCGGGTGAGCTTGGCAGGTTGTCGAAGCGGGAGCCGTAAAAGTGCCCTGGGCCACACCAAGGGAGATGGGCATCTTTGAGGCACACTCTGAAGTTACTTGTTGAAACCTCTCCTTTTCCTGTTGTTTTGGGGATTTGGGAAGTGGATGTCAGGAAGAGCCATTTAAAGTCATGCAGGTTGATGCTCATGATAATGCTGGCTCTGCCCATGATGGGCTTCTGAGAGGGGTGTGGCGGGGAGGGGTGCCTGTCATTCCACCCGTGACACTTGATTCCTAACAAAAACAGCACAGCCACTCATTCACCAGAATCCCACCTTTTCTGTAACAAAGCCCAACAGTTCTGAGTAATGGAGCCTATTGATATTTAGAATTTATCAAGATTTCTACTTTTTTAAACAAAGACTCAGCTCTGTGGAGTGTCGCCAGGTGGGTGCTGAGGTGCCTCCTCTTCTGCAGCACCCTCCTTTTTGCTCTTCGGTGGAGGTGATGGTCTGTACCAGAGGACTGGGGCGGGACTCAGTGACGCTGTGTGGCGCTGTCAGCAGGAGGAGTTGTCAGCTGTCCTCCTCCCCATCCTGAGCCTCTCGACTGCCCGTGTCCTCGTGTACCTCCACCTCCCAGGAACCTTCGGGTAGCTCCAGAGTGGCACCAGGCACCCCCGACAGACCCTCAGCTCTCAGGGCAGTGAAAGGAAGTCAAATTCAGTGTGTCCCCAACTTCAGTTGTGACCGTCCAGGACAATCTGGCCGTCACTGTGGGTCAGGGCTGGCGGATGGAGCAAGTGGCGCCTGTTCTTCTTGGCATCTGTCGGGGCTGGGGAGGGTCAGCACATTTCTGAAGTTGAAGTCTGTGCTCCTTCTTGCACATTTCAGTGGATCAGTAGAAAGCGACTTACCGGCAACCTCTCAGGCTGGGGAGGCCTGCAGACTGTCTTGTGGAACCTTATTTTGTAGTCGAGGGAGCTGTGGCCTGCAGAGGTTGTGTGCCCAGTGTTGAAGGGCAGCCTGGGCACACTGGGTGGGGTGGGGCAGCACCTGCCACTGCCCTGGCCCCTGAGGTTGAGGCTGTCCTTGACAGAAGAGTCTGAAGGTTTTCTCTGGGGACTTCCACTCTGTTAACTTAGAACCCACGACTGGAAGGTTACTGCGAGCTGCTCAGGAAAGCACAAGGAGGATGGTTGAAAACTCACCCACATCCCTTCCCTCCAAAAGGACCCCAGGGGCTGCATTCTGTCCTCCCTTCCCAGGTGGTTTCTGTGACCTGTAGCGCCCACTCACACACACACACACACACACACACACACACACAGATAGAATCTGCTCTAGTCAGCTTTGTGTCCCTGGGCCCGAGGGACTGACTAGGACAAGAGGAGGAAAGGCTTATTTGGTCATGGTTTCAGAGGTTCAGTCCACGGCCGGCGACTCTACAGCCCGGGGCCCAGGCGAGCCAGAGAACCTCATGGTGCAGGGCACGAGAGGAAGGCAGGCAGCTCCGGGCCTGCATCCAGGAAGTAGGGGCAAAACAAAACCCCAAAGGCACGTCCGGTGACCACCTCCTCCAGCCACACCCCACCTGCCTACAGTTGCCACCCAGCTAACCCACATCCGTGGGTGAACCCCCGGATTAAGTCACGCCTCTCACAGTCCAGTCAATTCACCTCTGAACATCCTCGCATTGTGACACACCTGGGCTTGGGGGATACCTCACATCCGAACCAAAACAGGATCCATCCACAAAGTCTTTTTTGGTGGTACTTGAGGTTGGACCCAGGGCCTTGTGCATGTTAGGCAACTGCTGTGCCCCGGGCCACATCTCCAACCCTTTTTATTTATTATTTAAAAATCTGAGACAGGGTCTTACTAAGTTGTGAAGGCTGACCTTGGACTTGTAGCTGGGAGTATGGGTGTGCACCACTATGTCCAGTTAATAAAATCTTTTCGGATCTTTATTTACTATACGTCATAATTATTTTCTTGTAAGTGCTCTTCTGCAACCTGATCTTTAATGCCTGAAAAACTCTTTCCTGTGAATTTTTCTTTATTATTTAACCCATCCCTTGACAGCAGATCTTTGGTTCACCCTACCTTTTCACAATCTTAAACCGTGACACCGTGGGCCCCTTTCAGAGACACCGTTGCTACGTTCGTGATGGTTTTCACAGACGTGGAATCACGGCACCGTCTTAATCCCTTTGGTGTTTCTCTGGATTGGGTCCCAGAGCTTCTGACCACTTCTGTTGCTCCAGCAGCATCTGAGATGCCCTTCGCTGCCCTTGCGTGTTGCAGGACTTGAACGACCTGCCACGTAATGACCTGGAGGTGCTTGGTGCTCATCGTCCCTACCCCTCTCTCCTTTTGTGGAGGATGTCATCTGCAGTGACCGGTTGTGATACTGCTGTTTGCTGTGTAGACCCTTGTCTTGGAGGGAGGGTAGTATTTTGAGGAACACACATCAGTGGTGTGGACATCACCAAGTGAGTTGGTCCTCCACCGAGAGCTTTGTTCACAGAATTTACTCCAAACGATCTGCTGTGTGCAGGAGGGAGCCACGGGGTGGCCTGGGGTGAAGACCAGTTTTGCCCCCCAGGAGGACATGTCAGGACAGGAGCTGCCCAGCTGTCGTCACCCTCACGGGTGCAGTTAGGTATCTCTTGTCTGAAACGCTCACAGAAGCCCGCACTTGGCCTGCACCGTGTTTTGTGGGGGGCACTCAGGACCCCAAGGAAACACAACACTCCACGAGCCAGAAGTCTTGCCTCTGGCTGATCATTTCCACTGTCCCCGTGTGAATTCAGAGGGTCAGGGTGCTGTACTCGAAAGCCTGGGGGGTCTTCGTGAGTCCTCTGTGCCATTGATTTCGTGGATGGCCACACTCCCTTAGCAGCAGGTGCTGTGTCCCCATGTCCCATTAGCACTGGAGGGAGAGTCATCAGTCCTTGGGGCACATCATAGTCATGTTCGATGCCCTCATCTCTCCTCTGTTCTAACGTGGAATGTGTATGGCTTATGTTCTTAGCACATTTTCACATCTACCATCTCAGCTGGGAAAATGGAAAAATAGCAATAGTGAGGTAGAGAGGTCTTAATATCTGCTGGTCAAAACATGAATAAAGAGTTCAGGAAAGGTCAGTGCTGTGTCCAAGGTCAGCGAGCCAGAGGAATAGAGCTTGGACTGACTCCAAGTGCTTTAGAGATGATTCCCAGATTCTCCCCTCCTTTCCCAGGGACAGACCCATCGCCACTGCTGTAGAACCCCTCAGTGTGAAAGGAGTCTCCTGTGCTCCACGCACGGGATTAAGTGACTGAATTCTCTCTGATAGACACTAAGCCTTTGCAGAGAGAAGCCCTGTGAACAGTGGAGGGACACTGCACGGCGTCCTGGTCTGTACCTGTCAAGAGGTCAAGTGTGAAGAACAGAAGTCACCTGGTCAGGTTCCGGGGGCTGGGAAACCCGAGAGCGTGGCGCAGCACCTGGCGAGGCCTTGCTGTGTTGAAACGCTGTGGAGGGCGTCACGTGGCGAGGCCGTGTGCTAGCGTGGGTTTCTCTTCATCTACTTGTAAAGCCACTGATGCCACCGTGGGGTCACCTCATGACTGTTAATTCTGATCATCTCCCGAAGACCTCACCTCCAAGTACCGTCAAGCTGTGCATTTGGGAATCGCGTTTCCAACCCATGAACTCTGGAGGGACACATTCCAGCCACAGCGTGCAGTTTGGGCCGCCGTGGAGCAGAGGGTCTGCAGGGAAGTGTGGCTGTCCACGACCTGTGCTGAGCTGGGGAGCTGGGCCTGGGGGTGGACACCAAGAGGAAGTCCTGTCCTGCTGCCGCTGTGCCTCCTTCCAGGGCTGATGGAGAGGAGCTTTGCAAGGGCCAGGAAGCTGGGTGGCTTGGGACTGAAAGCTCCTGGGGGCCTTGATGGAAGTGAGGCCGGGGGCAGCCCTTCCTGCTCCTGTCCCAGGTGGACAGCCCAGGGTGCACTCCAGGCCGGGCCCAGGGCTGTATCTGTCTATCACCTAATCTTTTCTCTCTCTGTCTCTTTCTATTATCTATAATTTCTCTATCTTTACACACACATCTGTACATACGTGTGTACATACATACGTGTGTGTGTATGTGTGTAAAACATACTTTATGTGTTAACTACATATACGTCTCTCTGTATATCTAGAAAACCCTGGGAGCAACATGGATACCACCCAGAGCAGGGTGGTTGAATGTCATGGGTATGTTGTATCATGGTTAAATCTGCAGATGGTTGTCAGGTTAAATGAAGTGGTCCCCGTGCAGCGCCTAGCATGGTGGGGGCACTCAGCTGGAGCTCAGTAATTAGTAGACACTAGTCTTGTGCAAATGCCTTTCAGTGGTGGTAGCTCACCTGGGCCCAGTTTGAGATGTGCGAATGCCTGCTGATTGAATGCCATGTGAACTGATTCCAATTAAAGGTAGTACAAGGTAAGCTTTTGCCGTGTCCCAAGTCCAGGGTTTCACTGAGGTACTTTGTCTCATTTTGTGATACAGTGATACAGAGGAGAAGTGCCAAACTTCCAAAAATTATTCTTTCAAGAAATTTGCTTTGGTCAAATCTATTAATGGGAAACTTGAAGAAGCTTCCCTCCCAGGAGAACGTGATGAGAATCAGGATGTCAGTTGGAATACTATAATATGGGCTTAATGCAGCCACAGAAATGGCTCATTAATGTGTGTGAAGTGACATTCCATTGCTCGGAGGGATGGGGCAGGGAGGCACCAGGCAGAGGCTGGGAGATCCCGGCTTTTGTGGCCTGTGGGGTGTGGGGGCTCTAGTGCAGGAGGTGTCCTGGGCCCCCGGCTGCAGGGCTCGGGGCAGTGACCCAGGGTTCTGG